AGGAAGGAGCTACCCGGAGGAGACGAAAAAACGCAGCTCGGAGAAGGGGAGGCCCAGCTTGCCCCTTCTACAGTCCCCGCTCTGCTGTAGTGGCCATTCGTGTCTGCTTGCATCCCTTCCCTGTAATGCAGTTCCCCCCTTGCGTCCCTTTTCACCTGCCGCAGAGCAAACGCGTCTCTTCCCCCAGTTTCCACCCAGTGCCTCCGGTCGCTGTTGCAGACAGGCAGCTTTGCACCCCTGTCCCTGCTCTGTGGAAAATCCTTGTTCCCAAAAACGACACCATACTTGCCCCCTCCCGCACAGCCCCCGCCTTTGGGTGTTGCCCCGTTCCCCTCCGGTGTCCGTCTCCCAGCCCCCGGCATCCCGAGGTGGGCACAGAGCCGAGAGGGAAGGCTGTCACAGGCAAGCCCTGCAGTTTGTGAACAAATCTGAACGTACAGGGAAGGGAGCTCTCATCACAGCGAAGAAAAATGTATGCAGCCGCATAATTAGCTGGTTTCTGTGGTAAAAATGTCTTCGCCTTTTGATTTTACTGCAAGCAGTATCTAACCCAGATAATAGATGGGGAGAGGAAGATTTGAATGCCTCCTTCTGAATTGCAGGTCTGTGCTGTCCTGCCTGGCGCGAGCGTGCGGAGAGCACTTTGCCACTGACAGCACTTCAGGAGCACAAGAAGCTGAAAGTATGGAGCTCTGCACTAGGATGAGTCCCATAACCTCCACAGCTTGGTACAGCCATGGGAGGAATACAGAGCTGAGTGGTCAGAAGAGAAAATAAGTAGCCAAGGTAAAGAGCATAAATTGTAGGAGCCAGCTACAAAATCTATATATGCTATCACAATACTAAAGCCAAGGCCCCAGGAACAGTATGGTGTGTTTGCAAAGTCCCTGCTGGAGGTCCAAAGTAGATACCCTCCCTATCTTGTTTTAGTAAAGCTGTGGCTGTTGCCTACAGTAACCCCACGCATCTACATACACAGACGTTCTTCCCGTTTCGGTTTCTACATTCAAGCAATAAGCCAAGATGCCCAAGGATATGCTTCTGCTAGGAACAGATGAAATCCCTGAAGGAATGTCCCCTCTGTTGATGAGCTTTGTCCCCTCCATTCACAGAGACATGACTGTGATCATGGGAAAGGAATAAACTCACTCTTACTCCAGACTATCCTGTCAGTTGTATAAAGGTTGACTGCTTTCTGCTGAGCTGCCGTAGCAAATCTGAGCATAGCAGCAGTGTGTCAGTGGCAATTCGAACGAGGAAATTTTTGCAGGATCAGAAGGGAGCACTTCCTTCTCCCTTGTCTTCTTGCTTAGATGTTTCCCCAGGGGGTGCTGGTTGGACATTTGTGAGATGCTGGTACCACCTCCGAAATGCTGAGGGATTTGCTCCTCCAAAATTCCTGTTTCTTGGCAGCTTTTAGAGAGAAACCCTGCCATTGGTGGTTAGGTGCCTGGGGGAAAGGTCTATGTGCAGACAGGGGTTTGACTCCTCCTGCTCTAGAGTGGGGGTGGGCCAGCTGGTACATATCGCAGCGTGTAAATAGCTTGGTCAGCTTGTGCTTGCAGCAGAAATTTGCCGTGGTGGCAAAGCCCTGAGAGCTGTAGGGCTGCAGAAAGCAACCTCCCTTTGTATATCAGCTCAGAACTGCTGGAAATGATCCACCTGCTGGGGTGGTCCGCTTCAGCATTCAGCAAGTATTTAAAGCAGGGACTCAGATTATTAACTTCTAAGTTGTTTTTTTTTTTCGCTAAGGCTTCTTTTTTGCTGATCTGTTTATTTTTTTCTTCATGGTCCTGCAGTTCAAGATGGCAGTCTTTCTCTTTTGCTTGCTCCCCTTCTTTCTGTCCACCTTTGCCACATAGAATAAAAGACTTCAGGACTGGTGGTTTTGTAATCACTGGCATCCAAGGACCAAAACTGTTCCCTTCATCGGAGTTGTCTCCTTCATTCTGACACTATCTAATCCATTATTACCCATTACCTGTCGTTAAATAGCTGGTAGTGATGGATGAAGCGGTCCAGGACCAGGCACCCCTCAGTTTACAGTGTTTGTTTGCACCAGCGCCCATCTGTCCGGTTAGCCAGTTCCATCTGGAGCTTGAGTAGTTGTGCAGTGGTATTGGTTGTCCAGAGAGATTGCTAGCTTGAAGCAGAGTTCAGGGAGTGTATTTTTGAAATTATGCAAGCTAGTATTAAGTAACTATAAAGATTAAAAGGGGAAAAAAAAGTACTGTCTTAAATGCTTTAAAAATGTTCCCATAAGTGAGGTCAGCTTTAGCTGTGATGCACATCAGTCTCTGGTCCTAGATTCATCCACATGGTATCCTTTCTCTGCCATCTTTGATTCTTACTTTTTAAAATAAAGTGGGATTTTTCGTACCATTGTATTTTCTTTGTTCTTCTGCATTTTTTTCTGCAGCAACTGCTAACGCCTGCCCTCTTGATGCTCACTTGCTTACCATTTGGCTAGTTTTCGCTTTAAAATAGTAAATATTGAACAAAAAATTACTGTCTTTGGTGCTGATGGCATTTGTAAGAGCACCCTGCCCAACAGTTGCATTCATGGCGGTTGTTGGAGCTCAGTAGGGGTGCCAGGCTGGGAACTAACAGAATCCAGCTAGAGTAGACAAGACATCAAATTGTCTGTTTTGTTGGGTTTTGTTGCCTCAGCCTGAGAGTCTTGGAGGAGAAAGAAAATATGAGGTAGCAAGTAAGAAAATCAGGTTCTGGTGACTCGAGAGTCATTTTCCATTTAAAATAATCTCAGGAGAGTAATTAATCTTTTGGCTGTCGTTGTTAAAGAAATGTAAGTATGGCTGCGTTTTGCTCTTTGCTTACACCTGTATTTATGATTGCTGTCAACCAATTCTAAGTCCAGCACATCTGGCGTATGTCCTAACATATATCGCTTATCAGAAGAGAGGCAACCTTGAATCTCTTTTAAGGAAAGTACCTGACACGAGATACCTCAGTAGTGCACAGGACGTCCGTAAATGTTTGTTGGTCAGGTGACTCCATTCTTTTATGCAACCACTCTGCTTGTTCCCCATATTCAGCAGGGGTAGTAGATTTTAAGACATATGACAAGCTCTTGCTGAATATTCAACTAAGGTTACTTTTGTTTGCTTTTGTAAGAAGGATTCCTGATTGCTGACCCGGACATAACTGCCCAGATGGACCAAGAAGAAGAACAAGATCACGAGGCCTTGGAGGAGACACAGATAGGTGAGGAATAAGTTAGATAAGTTTATAAACACAAAGCAGGCAAAATGCTCTTGGAGCTGTCTTGGTGTTACTTAAGCCCCTTAATTCATGCAGCTGATATTGAGACTTGCTCTTTCCCCCTCAGGACAGGCAAACAGCCTGCCTTTGTCAGCCTGCTGTTAAGAGTATGTATAAGAAGACGGAATATTAAGAAGACAAAATGTAAAGATATCTTGGGGGCAAGGAGACACCTGTAGCGTTGCCCTTGGCTGTGCTGTTCATGGCACATCTGCTCTGGGTTGCATGACGAGGCCATACAGCCTCTCCTGCAGCTAGGTTTCTGTTTGCTCCCAGTCTTCCCATTACTGCTTCTCCTACACGGTGCAGACCAGGCTCCCTACGATCACAGCTTGTCCGTTCTCTGCTGTGCCACTTCCCATTGAGAATCTCAGTTAGAGTCATACTTTTTTTCCAGGTGGTGAGCTAGATCCCCTTCCAGATCACCTTGCAAGCGCAGATCTACTGGACGTGTTGGCAGTGAGGTCCAGAGGAGAAGAGGAAGAGCTAGGGGACAGCCATGGAAGTCAGCATGGTTCTTCAGAGGCTCAGCAAGGTGGCTGTGAGGAGGAAGAGGAGGCTAGGCTGCCTTGCTCTGATATCAGCCTGGTAAAAAGACAGGAGAGAGGGGCGGCAGGCGCCTCGGGAGCCCCTCGTGCAGAGCGGCCCACCATCTGCTCTGAGTGTGGCAAGGGCTTCAGTCGGAGCATCCACCTCATCCAGCACCAGCGAATGCACACTGGGGAGCGCCCCTTCCTGTGTGGGGAGTGTGGCAAGGGCTTCAGCCAGAGCTCCCATCTCATCCAGCACCGGCGGGTTCACACGGGCCAGAAACCCTACACTTGTGCCGAGTGTGGGAAGAGCTTCAGCCAGAGCTCCAACCTCCTCAAGCACCAGCGCATCCACACCGGGCTCAAACCCTACGTGTGCAGCGAGTGCGGGAAGATCTTCAGCGACAGCTCCACCTGCATCAAGCACCAGCATATGCATACAGGCGAGCGGCCCTACAAGTGCCCAGCCTGCGGAAAAAGCTTCAGCCAACACTCCCACCTCCTTCAGCACCAGCGAGCTCATGACGGCATCCGGCCTTATGCCTGCGGGCAGTGTGGCAAACGTTTTGGGCAGAGCTCTGACCTCATTAACCATGCTCGTACCCACACAGGCGAGAAGCCTTACAAATGCAGCCAGTGTGGCCGGGGCTTCAGTGGCAACTCCAACCTCATCAAGCATACCCGCATCCACACTGGGGAGCAGCCGTACCGCTGCACCCAGTGTGGGGAAAGCTTTCGGTTCCAGCCCCAGCTGGTGCGCCACCAGAAGCACCATACGGAGTAGCTGGTGGAGAGAAGGCCATGTGGACCATAGGCAGCTACCTGATGTTGGGTAGACACCCAGCTGCTCCCTGGACACCTCATATGGGGCATGAATTTTGGGGGAGGGAGCCCTCAGAGCCTATCCCTTTTTCTTCTGGGTAAATCTGTGAGTGCTGCCTGGACACTCGAGCAAAGAGAGAAGCTGCTGCTGAACAAACTAGTGCATGTGCCCTGCGGTGCGGTGGTTGTTCCGGGCCCCTCTTTTGGGGATGGGGAAAAGAAAGGTGCTTATACTGTATGGTATGTTCAAGGCCAGAGAGGAGAACATAGAGACCTTTCAAGGATCAGTGCCTTTTTCTGTTATTTCTAGTGGGGAGTGATTTTTATCCCAGTAAAAACCGGCTAAAATCTGTACCTGTTTTCTGTACAAGCTGCCTGAGTTTTCCCTCACGGTAAGGCCACAGCCTGGGATGATCTCTCCCCTTAGAATCCGCATCTCCCACTTGCAGGTAGTTTTGGTTTTAGGTGGTGTTAGCATCTATTTATTTTAAAATCCCACAACACTGTTGGGTGCCTCTGCATACATGTTGTGGGCTCAGCTGATGCTCTGTTGGGGCGGTGTCTATGGAACGGTGTTTTTTCTGGGTTGTATGGTTGTTAAATTGACAGTTCCACAAATTACGCTGCTGTCTGACAGCTTAGTCCTCAGCAGCGATTAAGTAAATTAACATCCTAATAGGTATTTCTCTCAGATTCTTGTTTAGGTGCTTTTGTGGGTGGCACTTTATGAATGTTTTTATAAGGCTTTTAAAAGTATTTAGGGTGACTTTTTAATTGTGATCTTCTATTTGTCAGTTGATGAACAGAAAAAGGATGACATTTGAAAATTAAGCTGTGTCAAACTTTGATTTTATATTAAATGTTAAACGTTTTTTCTTGCATAAAACTTTTTAACTCAAATGCTATTGCTTTGAGTTGTTAATGATTATGAAGAGGTAATTTGACGCTGATTTCTAGAATATATTTTTGTGAGTGGTTTTGACATCTTTAATAACAACTTTCTAAGGAATATGGGGGAGGCAGGATTCTGAGAAAGCAGAAGGAACTGACCTCTGAAGAGATCTTCCTCACTTTGAGGAGGAGAATACTACTGCTGGGAGTCTGTGCTTAAAAGGAATTCTAGCTCAGGCGACCACTTGGTACGGAGGAGGAGAGAACTGGCAGTAATAACAAAGATTTTAATATCTCTAGCACGGAAGAACTCCCTGTAATGAATGTGGCAGCGTATACTGAAATGCCTGTTCCACCCACGGAGCCAAAAAGGGGAAGAAAGCACAGTGTGCTTTAGGCAAGAAAACGAAGTGATCACATCTGTTGTGCTCTAGAATTTTTATTTTCAGCACAGTATATAGGCCTAATGCTAACAGCTTTGACATGGAGGTGAGCTCCCAAATGGGGGAATATCAGTAAGGGCAAAGAGAATGCCCAGCTTGAAGAGCACAGGATCCCGAGGAAACAAGCAAGCTGTGAACAGAAGGAATGTGACTGGAATTAATGGCTGAGTAATGCGGATACATCCATACCTCCCTTAGCCACCAGCTGCAATCAGAGGGCACAGCTTCATGCTCCATTAGCAGTAGATCTGGTTGAAGTCATTTGGTCTCACTTTGCTTCCACCTTCTCCTCTAGAGCCTGAATTAATACAACTGTGCTGGGTAACTGTTCACATGGCTGTGCCCTAAGTCAGATCCATAAGATGATCCGTGTTTTTTAAATTACAGACCTTGGAGAGTTCATTTTAAACTGCATTAGTCCAATCTAGACTAGAGCCTCACAAGCAGCAGGGTACATACCACTGAGAAACTTAATGTCAGAGGAGGACAGACAGGCCAAAAAGGATATAAATAATGTGGCCAATATTGCTGTTAGTTCCCAAGAAACACGTCATTTAAGATATTTGTTACTTTTCTTCCTTTTTCTTTTTTTTTAATGTTTCTAGGGAGGAGTAGACCTGGAAAAGCCTGACACATTGCCTTTATTGTTTCTTCATTCCCCCAGCCCCATTAGGAAGACCCCCATTGCCACAATATGATGGAAACTACAATTCATTTCTGCGGTACTCTTGCTGCACATACTGTTACCAAAAATATGTGTTTATTCTGAACGGTAGTTCTCCCCCATAAACTGGCTGAAAACATGTCTCACGTCGGAGTTGGAATATCAGCCTATCGCGTACGTTTGTGGAAGGAGCAAAGCAAGGCAATGAACAGGACGGTCACATCTACACAGTAGAAGGTGCCAGGGGCACAGAAGCCAAGTAGTATTAGCCTAGGTGAGCTCCTTTGCGCTTTCTTGCTCTAATGCTGCTTTTTATTTTTCAAAGTAGGCACATGGAGAACCTGCTGATGGGCATTATCTGCACCCAGTGAGTCTTCATACAGACACTGCTTCTAGGCTGCACACGCTCCTGTGCCTTCACTTTGTTCATTCTTGCCATGACAAGCCAGGGCACTTCATGCTCTCTCTGTTGCATTGTTACAAACTCCCTAGTTCGAAGCCCACAGCATACAATTCAGCTTAACATATGGTTCCCTTACCTGGGGGCGAGGGGGAGAGCTAAGAAACAACATCTAAGGACGTTTTCTGTCCTACACCTTTCATATTCTCTCTTAGCTATGCATAGATGTACAGGAATAACGGGCAGTCAGCCATTTTGGGACCAGCCTCTTTCCAGGAAAGGCAACCAAAAATGCTCTGAGGACTTGCCTGTAATTCTGCTGCATGATTTCTCGGAGATCTGGCTTTCGTGTTCCAAAAATGCCAGGTTGCCATCTAACTAGACATGGCCCAGACCACATGTTGGTTTTGATGTGCCTGTGCCCTCGTCTAGTAGACTTGTAGCTCTTGTAGGGTACCCTCTTGGACAGCCTCGTTCAACTGCCAATCCTTCAGGAGCAATTAGAGCTCCTGATTACTGCATATGGACAAACAATTTGAATCCAGAATATAGTGTAGAATATGGTACATTAATACCTTATGCAGAGCAGATGATCAGGGACTGAGCAGCCAGGTTCACTCCCTGGGGCTATATTACATACTGGTGTAGACGTAATGTTAGGGTACTAATCAGCTGAGTAAGATGATGGATATTCATGCAGTGTTTCTGTGTTGCCTCTTGATGTATTGAAGCACACCAGCATGTTCCCCTTCACTTTGCTCCTGTGCTTGAATTTAGTGTTTATCTGCAGGCAGCTGTTTTCCTTTTCTCCTCCAAGCTATCACTACCAGCTGCTTCACAAACACCAGTATCCTCCCTCATTAGCTTGAACAGTTTGTTCAATATTTTGACCACAGATTCTTTCTGGTTTTCCTATTAATCAGAAAAAGTTTAATCATGAAATCAGTGTAATTGAGGTGCTCAAACAGGAAATCAGTTAAGCTTAGCTGCGAAGACTGCTGCTTAATGGATTTGCCTTCAAGTAAAGTTGAGCTTTTCACAGAAGTGCGTGGATCCCAAGTCTCCCCCGCAATACTTGGGGTGCTACCTGCACTCTTCCTTTCAAAGATCTTTGCAGCAGTACAAAACCGAGCTGCTGCTCTTCAAACACATTTTGAAGTATGTTCTCTGCATGCTGCACATGCTCAAGTGTTGAACTTTTAGACTTACAATGCATTTGAAATCCTCTAAAACCCCTTGCTGTTGGGAGCTCTGTAACTCCAGACTCATTGATATGATGAGGGAAGTTGGGACACTTAGGAATTGTTTCAGCTACAATGTGGCATCTTTGCTTAATTAAGAAGTGTCTCTCATCAGGATGATAGGCTGTCTGTGGAGACCTCTTGATTACAGAGCTCTGCTGCAGTAACTTTCCTTTTACAACTATAACAGAAGTGGTGGAGTCACCATCCCTGGAGGTATTTAAAAGACGCGTAGATATGGTGCTTAGGGACATGGTTTAGCGGTGGACTTGGCAGTGCTAGGTTAACTGTTGGACTTTATGATCTTAAGGGTCTTTTCCAACCTAAATGCTTCTATGATTCTATTCACAAGAACCAGCCTAAGTTGCATCTTAACTGAAACTGGGGAGTGAAATTTCCCACTCAGGCACCATACTGGCCTGAACAGAAGGCAGCCTCAGATCTCTTTTCTCAGAAGTGAAGATGAAAATTACTATATATAAATATATATTTCTATTTTTTTTAAAAAAAAAAAAACAATAAACAAACCATATTTCACTCCCCCAGTACTACTTAAAACATACCTTAGGCTCTGAGTCTGCTACCCACACAAGTTCTGTCACTCTGGTCGTGAGGTGAAGGGTTTTTTGTGCACAGGACCAAATGCTCTCCTCTTGGTCTTGGCAGCTCACTTCAGCAAAAATGCAGGTTCCAGGTTGCATCAGTTGGTTCTGGCTGCCAGCGGTGCACAGTCCAGCCTCTGTAAATCGGCTGCACTGGAATGAGTGAAGATGGTGTTTTTGCTAACTTGAGTAGTTTTACTTTCTCAGAAATCCTGAGCACTTGACTGTGCTGATAGTTTCAGCTCAAGGTGCTGGGGCTCTGAGTTCTAAAGAAAAACGTTCCAGGTACCAGGCCCACACATCCTTTCTGCACACACTTACTAATAGTAGTCAAGTCCATGCATAAAGATTTGTAGGACCTGCATTTTAGGCAGGTATTCCTCAAACTTTAGCTCTGCAGGCCCAGCCTTCAAAGTCTAAGATTGCCAAAAACTTGAAAGAGAAATCCAGGAAGAGCTTATATAGCTAAGGTAGTCTTCATCTTAGTAACCTCACCCTTCTTGCAGAATCTTACTGATCTGATGATGAGAGAGGGGTTCCAGTTCCCCTTGTTGGGGGTGCTGACGGGGGGCTGCTGTCAGCAGCAGGGCTGCTCCCGAAGAGCCTACAGCCAGCAGCAGCAAGATGTGCTGGGCTACGCCGTCCCCAACAGGGCATAATCCCGCAGTGCCAGTGGCCTCTGGGCAGTTCTCCTCTGGCTGACTTGCTTTAACCCATGCTT